CTTTACTAATGCCTCAGGTCTGTTTGCAGGTAGTAATGCAATTTTAAGCCTTTATAGTAGACACTGAAAGACTAATGGTTGTTCGCTGAAAGAGGAAGTATTTAGAATCCACCAGGTACAAAAATGCAGTAGAAAGTGTTTTGCCATAGTTTTGATATTTCTGATAGCTATTCCAAATTTCACAGGTAAACTGTGCTATGAAAATTGCAAACTGTATATACATGTGTTTTGTTTTCTTAGAACTACTGACTAGGCAAAGGGGGAAAATCCCACTCTATTGGTTAGAGGGAAAGTGCAAGCTTTGTGTGCCAGTATTGTAATATTTTATTCAGAAATGGTCGTGAGCATATGAGAATAATATATATGATATGTAGTCTATCTTTTAAGTATTTTCCTCCCTTGCCAACAACTTGAATTTCTCTCTTATGTTAATTTTGAAATCTTGTCTTGATTTCACAGAAATAAATGTTACTGATTTAAGAAATGTGTGTTTTTAATAGGTATCTCTTTAAAGAAGTGCATAAATATTGTTTTATGGTCTCAGTCATTTCATTTTGTCTATTTATGATTAAATTGCAGCATCATTGCAAAGGCGACTTATCTGTCAAGAACAGTATATGGATGCATGCTGAGCTACTCCAAATCTGCAAAGAACACTGCAAATCTGCAGTGTTCTTATCTGAATTGAATTTTGAAGCTGGATTGAAAGTCATGAGTGAGCTGCTCTACAATGGCACACGTATGCAAAATATCACACCAGCTGTGCTGAAATATTTTTAACTTTGCCTTCTGCTGCCAGTGTGCTGATTATAAGACTTAATGGTAACTCTACAAGTAGGATTAGTTTCCATAATTCTGGTTTTAGAAATATCTATATGAATGTCCTGCATAAATGCCACCTTGATATAGTGGGAAAATTACAGTATATCTTGCTGCCACGTCTGTTGAACTGGCAGCACGGGGGAGCTGAGCCTGTTTGCTCGATGTCTAGAAATCTTTGATAAATAACTAGAATTTTAAATTCAGCCATGTCGTTTTATTTTTCTTGGGACACTTGCCATGTCACAAGAAATGTAGACCTAGACTAAGTGTAGAAAACAAATTATCTGAACTCTGGTCAGGACCAAATTCCGCTGTGAGTCACAGGCGCCAAGGGCAGGAGCTGTCAGGCTGCCCTTCCTTATTCTGGCCCTGGAGCGCTGTTCCCTGAAACAGCAGCTGAGCAGGAAGGGAGAATCAGCTGTAAGAGCACTGAGTTGCATCTGAGCAGCAGTTTTCTTTCTGTGTCTGCCTGCAGGTGACCTTTGGCAGAAGTTCACCTCTCTGCAGGGTTTTTGTATAATAATGACCTACCTGCTTCAGCCACTAGGTTGCCTTTCTCATGGGAGAAACACTGAGGGCAGCAGCTTCCATAGAATCATAGAATGCTTAAGGTTGGAAGGGACCTCTACAGGTCATCTAGTCCAACCCTCCTGCACAGACAGGGTCACCTAGAGCAAGGGTCACCTAGAGCAAGTGGCACAGGACTCCATATCTCTGTGATGCCTCTTACTGCCTGAGGTTCCAACAACCCTGAAGCTGCTTTTCGTTATGGCATTTGGAAGTAGGTCTTTGTTCAGTGCGTTGATTCCAGCACATGAAAAATATCAATGTTTAAGAGGCTGCATAAACAACTTTTTGGTAGAACCGTCATCTTACATTACATCTGGTCTGCTGTGATAGCATAAATACACGTGATGCCATTTGGTGAATGAGATCAGGAAATTTCTCTCACGAAAAACTCATTCACACATGCACACATGCTCTCTCTCCCTTTGTATCTTTTTGTCCCCACAAGGCATTTTGTGTCTAGATTTTTTTTCTCCCTGCTTTGCTGCAAAGCCTCACTAAGGGGAGCCAAACACCCTGCCTTAACCTGGCTCCAGTAACAATGTTCCTGAAGCCCCAGCTGCGTGGGGCCTTTGTTCAGAAGAGTTGGTGCTGTCCATTGGATTTCTCTGTTTTTTTAACCCTTTTTGCTTGACCTGCTCCCATGTTGCCATTGGGATTACATAAGGTTAAGAAACTGCAAAAATACTTTTTTTTTTTAGTTATATACCACATTATTATCTATCTTCTGTGTTTCCATTCAAGCTATAGTAGTTATGTTTGTATCCATGGTGACAAAACAAGTGCTAGCACAGGCAGGGAAAGACCTTGGTCTGGCAGCCATTTCCCTACTGCTGATGAGTAGTCCCTTTGAATTAAAGGCATCTTTACCTCAAAATGATTGAAACAAATTGTACGATCAGCTAAATCATTTGGATGCTTTGAAAGTATCCAGGAAGCTTTTAGTGTTTCTTTTTGGCGGAAACTTCACTGAAGTGAAATGTTTTAGCTGTTTGCTACACCTTTTCTCAACAAATAGTGTCTGTAACATACTAAGCATATAGCATATATATGTTTTTATAAATGCTATTTTCCCAATAGGAATCCTCTATTTATTGCTTGTCAAACACAATTGTGAGGAGATACTCCAGCACTCCATCAGATAAAAAAGTGCAGGTTCCCTAATAGATGATAACCCGTTTAAATTTCTTTCCCAGGGATTATATATGTTTCTCTCATATAGGTTTGGATATATTGTATGTACTAAGTCTTTTAAAGTATTTGTTTTCATATCTGCATGGATTATTAAAGATAATCCATGCAGTCACTTGTCAAGAAACACAAAAAGTGAGATTTCCTTGTTGGCTTTTTTTTTATTGCCAAAAGGAACTTTGATCCCTGGGGCCGAGATAAGCGTGTTATGTATTTCGTGTATTTCTGTCGAAGTCTCATTATGGTCTTCTGGTTTGTTCTCACACAAGAATTCCTCAAGATATTATTAGGAAATTTATGATATGCCAAATGATTCTTTACGGATATTGTGTATGATAAAGGATCATCTACTCTTGTCTTCAGTAGGATATTTTCCCTGCAGCACTCATGGCACTTTCTAGATCTCTTGTTTTTGCTTTGGTCGGTGGGGTTGTGTTCGTCTGCCTCAATGCACAAAGTAAGTCATTTCCATTTTTATAAAAATTTGTGAGTCTGCCTTTGTCGTTACTGAAATAGAATAAATTAATTCATATAAATTCTAATTGTAGAAGTTTAAGATGCATTTATTTGCGGAGTGCTAGAATAACTTCTCGGTGACAGAAAATAATCTCCGTGACCATGAAAGTGGTGTGGATTTCAGGGGCTCAGGCATCCCAGGTCCAAAACCACTGTTCTTGTATGTACAGAAATTTATAACAAGTTCTCTTTGGATTTTCAGGTTATTTTACATCTGCAGCAGTTATTAAAGAAGACATTATTAGGCTGAGATTGAGTGTGAGAATGAATAGTTGTGAAACTGGGATCCCTTGACATCCCTCATGCTGTTATTTTGTTAAATGAGATTGTGGTAGTTACCACTGCTGTATCTGGTATTCGTTGTAATGAAAACACTCCATTAAAAGTCAGGCAGTGAGAACTACACCATCCATTACCTGAATCTGGAGAGGAGGAAAGGTATCTGGGTGCATAAGCTTGAGGTCTTAACATAATGTAATTCTTCAGACTTTCTAA